GCAATTTCACCCTTATGCCAAATGTGATTTTCACTATGATCGTAAACATTATCTTTTCATATGTAAATAAATATTTGTACAATTGAAAACAAAAAATACGACATTTCATAATTATTAAATTCGAAATTTCATAATTTTTATTCTAGTAACAAAGAAGAAAAATGAAATTGAGTTGAAAAAATGAATGAACCGAACCGATAAACCGGGCTCGGAGCGATTGTCTGGTTATCTTTGGTTAAAATCTGGGTCACAGAAGCTTTTGGGGAGTGCCTCACATGGCAGGTCTCTTCAAAAAAATTCATCCTTCGATTTGAAAGCATTGTTTTGCAGAGAAGGGGAGACTCAGAATCTTCTTCGTTCTTTCTTCAAACCCTAGATTTCCTCACGAAATGGCGACGGAGATCTCGTTGGATCTGATAAACCAACTCAAGGTCTCGCTTCGTAAACAGGCCAAGCTCTCCTCTTTCGATCCCGTCGGCGATTACTCGGACTTCTCCAGTCTTCCCACTGCCGCTGAGGCTATCGCGGAACTCGATTCTTCGGCTCCGTATCTCCGTTGCCGGAACTGCAAAGGAAAGCTTCTGAGAGGGATTGAGTCTCTGATCTGCGTTTTCTGCGGCAAGCAGCAACGGACGAGCGATAATCCTCCTGATCCCATCAAGTTTACTTCCACTTCTGGTTACAAATTATTCCTCAGCTCTCTTAACCTGGATGGATCGGTAAAACATCATTCATACATTTTGTTCTTTATTCCGTTTCAGATTTTTGTTGAGAAATTATTTTCATTCTGTTGATTGTGCATTTGTTGTAAGCCATTTCTTGGGTATTTAGTATTAGTCAGGTGTAGGATTTGATTGTGTTGTGGTATTGAAAAAGAAGCAGACTTTTCATGAAATGATTTCATCTGCAGGAGATGGTAGAGCCAATAAAGGAAACGAATGGATCATCAAGCAGAGGAGCTATGGCACCAGTGGTAAAAGGAATTGCTGTGTCCAAGTTTCTTGATTTGGAAATACAATGGTCTGCAAGAGATGAAAAGTCTATAAACAGTGGTCCTGGTGATGGACAATCATTGCAGAATAAAAACTCTCTTAATTTAGGAGGAATCAATCTTGATGATTTTTTCGTTGAAGGAAGAGGAGATCCGGTAGAGAGCAAACCCGAGGAGGAGGATGATTTTAACGATCCACGTAGTCTTAGTTTATTCGATAGTGTAAAGAGTCAGGGAGTTGTTGAATCACAGCAGAATGAAAATGTTGGTTTGTTTAAGGGAATATATGTGCAGGAGAATGTTTCTTCTGAAAAACATGAGAATCTTAGTTTGTTTTCGGGAAGAGATGCCCAGGATAGTGTTTCTTTAGCAGAGCAGGGAAACTTTGGGTTCTTTGAGGAAAAAGACGCTGGGCATTCCTTGAAAGAGGATGAAAACCTTAGTCTGTTTGAGGGAAAAGATACTCAGAGACCTAGTTCTTCTAAAGACAATGAGAGTTTTGGTTTGTTTGAGGGAAAAGATGCTCAGAGAAATAGTTCTTCTAAAGATGATGAGAGTTTTGGTTTCTTTGA